CTCGCTTTCTGTCTCTATGTCTCTGTCTGTCTGGCGAGTGCACGCGCCCTATAGCAAAAACTTCTCAAAAAAAAAAAAAAAAAAGGCTCTAAAACTTGAAAAGGTTTTGGTGCCCCATTTATTCATTTTCTTTTATTAATTATTTTAATTATTTTTATTTGACAAAGGGCACTTACACTCTCCAGAGAGAGAGAGGAGAAGCCATTCCTGAATGAGATGTGGTCACACTACAGTTCCTTCTCCATGTTTCCATTCTGTTAGAATTTTGGTCATATATACACACATACCTGGCATGTTTTACAAGTCACTTGCTAGGCCTCAAACTATGGCCAACCATCCAGCTTCAAGCTCTCTTAACCATCATGTTATGGGCCAGCCCTTTAAAAATACATATATTTGGGGTTGGCAGGTGGTATAGTGGTTAAGGGTGCTGGACTCCCATATGGCTGATCACAGTTCGAGTCCTGAACCTGAAGGCTTGCTTTCTCATATTCCCTTCCTCTCTCATGTTGTCCCTCTCTGGTCAAATTTAAAAATAATAATAATGAATAAAGTTAAATAAAATAATTCCTTAAAAATAAAAATACATGTATTGATTTTTGGAGATTTTACATTTATTAAGGAAGTTAATCCCTTTGTCTATGATATGAGTTGCAAATATTTTCCCCAATTTTTCATTTGTTTTGATTATAGTGTTTTTGATCTGCAAAAACTAGATTTCTATGTTGACAGAATTTCAATGTGTTTTTTTCTTAAAGAATTATTTTAACTTTATTTATTTATGTATTTATTTATTTAAATTTGGCCAGAAACAAACCACCAGTCCCGGACTTGAACCGTGACTGGCCACGTGGGAGTCTAGCACCATTAACCACCACGTCACCTGCTGGCCCAGAATTTCAGTGACTTTTTAAAAAAATAATTGCCAGAGGATGCATGTACTCCCCAGAGAGAAAGAAAGCATGACTTACGGCCCTGGCTCAGCTGACTTAGAAAGCATGAGACTGGGAGTGATGGTTGTCTTGGCCGAATCTAGGCAGCCAGAGTGCTGTGGAGGGTTGCTAGATTCTGGCGGTGGGTGAGAGGGGACCTCTGGAGAGGGGACGATGGCAGTACTCATTTGACTACCTTAGTTCCATCCGGAGTCAGCCCTCGTCCCAGCACTGTGGTGTCTGAAGGTTAAGGAGACAGCCTGTCTTCCTCTTCTATAAAGGGGATGGGGGATGAGAAGGCAGGTGGCCCAAGAATTAAAACCGATGCTTCTTTGATTTTTGTTTTTGTTTTTTTTTTTGAGAAGTTTTTGCTATAGGGCACGTGCGCTTGCCAGCCAGACAGAGACAGACAGAGAGACAGAAAGTGAGAAATCACCTCCCAGTGGGGATGGC